TTTATTAGGGCCCCCACCCACCGCTCAGGGGTGGGGGCCAGGGGGGGAGGACAATAGGTCCTCCCCCTTATTGTTTTATTAGGGCCCTCACCCACCGCGCAGGGGTGGGGGCCGGGGGGGGGGACAGTAGGTCCCCTCCTATCTTTATTTAGGGCCCCCACGGGCAGGGGGGGTTATTAGTTTTTTGTTTGTTTTTTTACAGTGAGCAGCTAGAAGCTGATCACTGGATAATAAAAAGAATAATAGAAAATGGCGCTAGAGGATATAATATATTGGAAGGTGCCGCTATACCCAAGTATATCACCACTATATATACTTAAAAAGAGTACAATGAAGTATGAAAAAAGGTAAATGCGCACACTTTAACAAGGAGGTTGTAACCTGACGTATATATTGGTAAAGAGTAACTCCTCCTTATATGTAGTATGTGTATACACTGTAGATATTACACTTTTCTGAGCCGTTCAAAGTAGGCTCGGGACTTATGTAGCTCTATATGTCACTTTAAATGGGACATCAGCATTCCTTCACTCTTCAGGCAAGTCCTTCAGTGATCGTCTGATGAAAGGTTGGAGTCAGAAGCCAGGAGTATCAGGATGTATAAAAAACATTTATTTGTATAAAAACAAATAAAAACAAATCAAGGATAATGCACAACGCGTTTCAACCATCAAGTGGTCTTTCTCAAGTGCTGTTCAAGGCTACAATGAACCTGCTGCTACATATATAGGGCTTCACATAAAATGCTAATTGCAAACATTTGCTACACATGTAACACTAATTAAAAATGCAATTGCCTTATATGGTCCGAACCGGATGTGTACTGCCACCTCCAATATGGCTCCACATCCGGTTCGGAAACACACACCATCAATGCAATACATAAATAAATCAAATAGCTTGCAAAATGCCACATAACAAATAAAATACAATCAAATTCCTCCTCAAATATGGTCAATCAGCCCGCCTCACTCCAAGCGTGGATGACCTAATATCTGGGAGTACTGTAAATAATGTCCGGTATGTCCGTCGCCTCACTTCCGGTGACGCGTGTATTGATGAAAGCGGTCCGTCGCGTCACTTCCGGTTTCGCGAAGAAGAAAATCGGCAGTATCCATTCTCAGTT